TTTGGGTCTTTTCTGATTCCATACAAATTTTGGGATTGCTTGTTCCAGCACTTTGAAAAATGTCATTGGAATTTTGATCAGGATGGCATTGAAGGTATAGATTGCTCTGGGTAGCATAGACATTTTAACAATATTCATTCTTCCAATCCATGAGCATGGAATGTTTTTGCATCTCTTTGTGTCTTCTTCAATTTCTTTCATGAGTCTTCTGTAGTTCCTAGAGTATAGATCCTTTACCTCTTTGGTTAAGGTTAGGTTTTTTCTGAGTTATCTTATGGTTTTTGGTGCTATTTCTCTAATTTCTCTTTCTACAGTTGCATTGTTAGTGTATAAGAAAGCAACTGATTTCTGTGCATTGATTTTGTATCCTGCCACATTACTGAATTGCTGTATGAGCTCTAGTAATTTGCGGGTGAAGTCTTTTATCATCCTCAATGGGGAAAAGCTGAGCGCATTTCCCTTAAGATCAGGAACACGTCAAGGATGCCCACCCTCACCACTATTGTTCAACACAGTACTAGAAGTCCTAGCAACAGCAATCAGACAACAAAAAGAAAGAAAGAAAAGGTATTCACATTGGCAAAGAAGAAGTCAAACTCTCTCTTTTCGCAGATGACATGACACTTTCTGTAAAATCCTCTTGTTAACACTAAAATCATAGGACAAATTTTGAGAAAAGAATGGAGCTGCATCGACTGTGTCTACTCAGAGATTCTATTCAGTGTTAACATCTCCAGTGTTCTTGCCATCTACAAAATCGCCCCTGACAGTAACTGTCAGCATTTCCTATAAACCAGTTTTAATCTAGGATATGCCTTAAGGCACCCAGTATCCAACAACTACTCACTCACTTGAAATTCCATGAAGCATTCAGTTCGTGGCTGGAGAGAGGTGGAAGGAAAGGATTTTACCCCACTATCTCAGCCCCCAAACACTAAAATAATATAAAGTTCCATAGGAATTAAGATGCTACCAACCCACTAGCTCTTGTCTTCAAGTTATGTTACATGTTACTGCCACCCAGAACATCTAAACAGAAAAAAATAGTGATGGCCAACATTTATCAAGCACCTGAATTAATTAATATGTGCCAGGCATTTTCCTAAGGCCTTGCCAGGGATTTTTTTTCATTTACTCAGCCAGCCTTATAAAATAAATACCTTCTCTCCAGTTTGCAGTGAGAAAGCTAAGACTCAGACATTAAATGTCATCGTGTTTGCACCCCTTTGGAGGTAGGACTCTAAGGAACTACAGGTCAAGACCTCTTCTTTCTGGACCTCAATTCTGTTTGTGAGCCATGTCCCCACTTTACTAAGTTGTCAGAACTTGCTTGGGCCTTCCTCTGTTACCCCATAGTCCTGGAAGTTTCTATAAATTTACAAATTTCCAAGCCAAGGGGGTGTGTGTTCGTTCCTCTGAAAGGCTGCCTCTGGCCCCACATCCCTGGATATATCACATGACTGCTATTCCCTGGGGTCTGGCAACGTGACAGGGGGCCCTTGTGGGAGCCAAGGCTGATACAATCACTTATAAAGTTCACTGAAACTAAAAGGCAGCCATGTTAGTATTCTATTACTGCTATAACAAATTACCATGAGCTTATCAGCTTAACATGGTTTGTATACTTCCATAGGCCAGAAGACCAGTATGCACAGCGCCGTGTTTCTTTCTGGAGGTTCTAGGAAGGGATTCATTCCCTTGTTCATTCAGGCTGTTGGCGGAATTTGCTTCTTTGTGGCTGTGGGATGGGGTCCCTGCAAGCTGAGAGCTGGCCTTGTCCCCTAACAGCCACTGTGCTCCTTGGTTCAAAGCCAGCTGTGGTGGGTCCCCAAGCCCACACATTGCGTCTCTCTCCACTTCAGTAAGAAAGGACTCCTATGATTAGATTCAGCCCCTCTGTATAGTCCAGGGTAACTCACCATGTCAGGATCGCTAGTCTCAATCTCAACTGCCATGTAAGGTCTGGAGATTAGAGCACAGACATCTCTGAGGGACATTATTCTGCCTATGAAAGTAGCCAATGAGGGCGCCTGGGTGGCTCAGTAGGTGAAGCGACTGCCTTCGGCTCAGGTCATGATCCTGGAGTCCCGGGATCGAGTCCCGCATCGGGCTCCCTGCTCGGCAGGGAGTCTGCTTCTCCCTCTGACCCTCCCCCCTCTCATGTGCTCTCTCTCTCTCATTCTCTCTCTCAAATAAATAAATAAAATCTTAAAGAAAAAAAAAAGAAAGTAGCCAATGATAAGTTCAATCATCTCTGGTTTTCTGCTAATATCAAGTTCAGAACACTAATAGTAAACCAGGGAAAGGCAAAAAAAAATTTTTTTTCAATGGTTAAGAAGTACCACTGATATCCGGTGTAGCTGATTAATGGATATCTAGGATCTAGTGCCAGACTTGTCCAGATGAGAACTGGTGCCCTCCACCTCTGGATACTACCTGTCTGGTAACTGGATTTAGGAAGTATAATTGGCCCCTTCCCTAATAGAAGTTGCAGGTCAAGGCAAGATGGATATTCTCTGTCCCATAGTTAGGGTAGAAATAATAAATACCACTTGTATTAGTTTCCTGTTTCTATAACAATTTGTCACAAACTCAGAGGCTTAAAATGACACAAACTCATTGTCTTAAAGTTCTGGAGGCCAGAAGTCCAAAATGGGTTTCCCTGGGCTAAAATCAAGGTGTCCACAGGGCTGTGTTCCTTCTGAGATCTCCAGGGAAGAATCCATTTCCTGGCCTTTTCCAGCTTCTAGAGGTGCCTGCATCCCTTGGCTCATGGCCCCTTCCTCCATGTCCAAAGCCAGCAGTGTAGTGTCTTCAGTGTCCTTCTGTCTGTCTCATCACCTCTCCCCCCTGCTGGCTTTGACTCTCATGCTCCTTCTTGTAAGGATCCTTGTGATTACATTGGCTCACCTGGATCATCTCCCCACCTCCAGATCCTTAACCACACCTGCAGTGTCCCCTTTACACATAACATCAAGTATTCACAGGGACCAGGGATTAGGATGTAGACATCTTTGCATGTGTGGAGTGGAGGGGGTGGGTGGGGCCTATATAATCACTTATATAGTAATTATAACTCCACTCATGATTTCATTTCCATGTCTCATTGTCTGCGAGCTTGTGTAAAACCTGTGACTTGAGGTCAACGAGCTTGGTTTTGGTACATCTCCTCAGGAAGGACTCTGAGTTTATTTTCTTCATGTGATTGATTTCTAGGCTTTGGTACTGTAGCATAACCAACAGTGGCTGCAATGATCTGTCAACACTTCTCCAGCAAAACTCAAGCCTTACACACTTGGATCTGGGGCTGAATCACGTAGGAATTACTGGACTGACGTTTCTGTGTGAGGCTTTGAAGAAGCCAACATGTAACCTCAAATGTCTATGGTAAGTTAGGTTTTTTTACTTTAATCTCTATCTGAAATAAAATATTGGTGGAGCAAATCCCCCAGCTCAAATACAAGAGATTGGAACAAATCTGATTATTTTAAAAATCCAGTAGGATAGCAGTTTTCACATTTTTTTTTTAAATCCCCAAATTTGTGGGCAACCACAAAAGACTCCAAATAGCCAAATTAGTTCTGACAAAGAACAAAGCTGGAGGCATCACACTTCCTGATTTCAAACTATATTATGAAATCATAGTATCAAAATAGCATGGTGCTGGCATAAAAACAGATACATAAACCAAAAGAACAGAATAGAGAGCCCAGAAATAAACCCCCCACATACACAGTCAACTAATCTTTGACAAGGGCACCAAGAATATTCAGTGGGGAAGGGATGATCTCTTCAATAAATAGGGTTGAAAAAAACTGGATATCCACATGCAAAAGAATGAAATTGAACCCTTACACCATACACAAAAATTAACTCAAAATGGATTAAAGACTTAAGACATGAAACTGTAAAATTCCTCGAAGAAAACATAGGAAATGAGCTCTTCGGCATTTGTCTTGGCAATGATCTTTTGTATATCATGTCCAAAACACTGGCAACAAAAGCAAAAATAAATAATTGGGACTTCATCAAATTAAAAAGCTTCTGTCTACTAAAGGAAACAGTCAACAAAATGAAAAGGCAACCTACAGAAAAGTATTTGGAAACCATATATCTGATAAGGGGTTAATATCCAAAATAGATAAAGAACTTATACAACTCAATAGCAAAAAATAAATAAAAATGATGAGCAAAGAACATGAATAGATTTTTTTTTTTTCCAAATCAGACAGACAAATGGCCAACAGGGACATGAAAAAGTGTTCAGCATCACTAATCATTGGGGAAATGAAAATCAAAACCACATGAGCTATCACTTCACACCTTTCAGGATGGTTGTTATTAAAAGAACAGAGATAACAAGTGTTGATGAGGACATGGAGAATAGGGAATCCTTGCATACTGTTGGTGGGAATGCAAGCTGGTGCAGGCACTCTGGAAGCCATATGGGGGTTCCTCAAAAAGCTAAAGATAGAATTATCTTATGATCCAGCAATCCCACTTCTGGATATATATCCAAAGGAAATGAAACAGGATCTTGAAAAGATATCTGCATTCTCATGTTTATTGCAGCATTTTTCACAATGGCCAAGATAGGAAACAATCTAAGTGTCCACCAACAGATGATTGGATAAAGAAGATGTGAAATATATACACACACAATGGAATATTAGCCATGAGAAGGAAGGAAATCCTGCCATTTGAGATAACATGGATGATACTTGAGGGTATTATGCTAAGTAAAATAAGACAAAGACAAATACTGTATGATACCACTTATATGTGGAATCTAAAGGAGCTGAGCTCATAGAGACAAAGTAGAGTGGTGATTGCCAGGGGCCAAGGGGTGGGAGGAAATGGGGGGCTGTTGATCAAAGGTTGCAGACTTCCAGGGGCACCTAGGTGGCTCAGTCGTTAAGCGTCTGCCTTCAGCTCAGGTCATGATCCCAGAGTCCTGGGATCGAGCCCTGCATCAGGCTCCCTGCTCAGCAGGAAGCCTGCTTCTCCCTCTCGCACTCCCCCTGCTTGTGTTCCCTCTCTTGCTGTCTCTCTCTCTGTGTCAAATAAATAAAATTAAAAAAAATAGAGATGAATAAGTTCTGGAGATCTAACATATAGCATGGCGATTATAGCTAATAATACTGTTATATACTTGACGGTTGCTAAAAGAATAGATTTTTTTCATTCCAGTGCAATTAACACAGTATTACTAGTTTCAGGTGCACAATATAATGATTCAACACTTCCATACAGCACCCAGTGCTCATCAGGACAAGTGCACTCCTTCATCCCCCCCACACCTCCACCCTGGTGACCATTGGTTTGTTCCCTTGTAGTTAAGAGCCTGTTTAAAAAAATAGATCTTGAATTTTCTCACCAAAAGAAGAAATGACGTGTTGGGATGGAGGTGTCCCCTAACACTACAGTGGCAATCCTCTTGCAAATATATAAATGTGCCAGATCAACACGTTTCACACCTTAAACTTACACAATGTTTTATGTCAATTATATCTCCATAAAGATTAAAGAAAATCTCCAGAAACTTCTACTTCTCAACAGTAAAACAGTTCTCTCAGCAAATAAATTGTTCTCACACAAAAAACAGTAACTCTGTGAGCTGACAGATGTGTTAATTAACTTGATTGTGGTGATCATTTCACAGTACGTACATATATTAAATCATCACATTGTACAACTTAAATACATAAAATTTTTATTTGTCAACTATACATCAGTAAACCTGGGGGAGAAAATTCACTAGAATGGTTAAAGGAATAGCTTCTAGTCTAGGTCATCCAAAGGCCACCTGTGGACCATGTTAAGATGCAACACTTAAGTCATCAAGAAGGAGTGGCGGCCCAGCTCCCAGCCTCCAGAAAGCTAGGAATTCGATACTGCAGAAAATGTCACCTCCATGAGCAGATAAATGTCTTCAACTCAGTTCTGTCTCACAATCCTGTGTGAGTTAGGTTCCATCACTCAAACATACTTGAATCTGGAACCTTACTAGTGAGGGACTCTCAGATGGTAGCTAGTTTTCTGGCCTCTACAGCACAAGAAGTTAAGGCAGAGTCATGGTGTCCAACCTCTACTGTGTAGTAGAAATTCTTGCAGCTTTGGGAATCCCAACACCCAGGTTGTACCTCAGACCACTCAAAGCGGGGTCTCCACAAGACCCAGACAACAGTATTTGTAAAGCTCCCAGCACTGGTGAGGATGCCAACTGAACAAATCCTCAAGCTTGCAGGTGGGGAAACCTGTGGTTGTTACAATTCATGGCAGGTGCCTGTTTGCAGAGGCTGGTGATGTTAATAATGACAGGGGTGGGGTGGCTCTCTTAACCGCATGCACTACTGGTGTAGGGATGTATCTAGTAAGCCTTGACTTCCTGATGGTATAATCTCAGTTACGTGTTCTAGGAAATGGAGTTGGTTGTATTCATCAAAAGAGTTGGCTATGATCATGAAATATGTTTGCATGTTATTCAGTGTGCCAGGAAGTATGCTAAATGTTTGATGTTAGGTTTAGCCTGGGAAATACTTAAACGTATGACCTAATCTCTTGTGTGTGTCTGTGTCTATGTGTGTGTACACATATATATGCAAACCCCTTGAACATTTGTACAATATTATTTGCTCAAAACAAAATCCTTTATTCCTTTTTTCTTTCAAATATCAAATCCAAGCCTACTGCTACTGTCTTCCAGATATCTAGAATCTGTTCTCATACCCCCAATACCTCCTGGTAACATCTGGGTGGTTGTATAGCCTTCAGCCTAGTCTGTATTCTGCCTTCTCTGTTCCCTACAGTTTTTCAGCCAGGTACTAAGAATAACTTCTAGGGGCGCCTGGGTGGCTCAGTCGTTAAGCATCTGCCTTCGGCTCAGATCATGATCCCAGGGTCCTGGGATCGAGCCCCGCATCAGGCTCCCTGCTCTGCAGGAAGCCTGCTTCTCCCTCTCCCACTCCCCCTGCTTGTGTTCCCTCTCTCACTGTGTCTCTCTCTGTCAAATAAATAAATAAAATCTTAAAAAAAAAAAAAAAAACTTCTAAATTATAGCTCTTGTCATGTTTCTGCTCAAAACCCTCGACAGTTCCTCATCTCATTCCAAGTAAAATCCAAAGTTTACAATGTCTTAAGAGCCTTCTGTGAGATGGCTCCATCTTATCTGTGACCTCATCTCTTTCAACCCTCCCTGGTTCACGCTCAAGCTGGCTACCTCGGTATTGTTTTACATGATAATCCTACACAACCTCAGGGCCTTTGCATAAGCTATGTCTCTGCCTGGGAGCTCCTACTCCGGATCTCTCTATGGTTCATATGGTTCACCCCTCAGGTCTTTCTCAACCATTGTAGTGAGCACCCCCCAGCTTCTCCCTTTGCCCTTCATAACCTTATTGGATATGACACACTACATACATCTGTTTCCTATTAGTACATGAGCTCAGAGGGAAGAGACTTTTGTTGTTCCCTGTTGGGTCCCCAACACCCAAGAGTGTGCCTGGGGTATAGGACCATATCAGTACACATTGGTTGAATGAACTAACTAATTTTGTGTCTCCCCTGTAGGTTGTGGGGATGTGCCATCACCCCTTTCACCTCTGAAATCCTCTCATCTGCCCTAGGCAGCAATCAGAGCCTGGTCACTCAGGACCTGGGCCAGAATTCCTTGGGGTATAGCGGAATAAAGATGCTGTGTGACACCTTGAAACTTCAGCGTTCCTTCCTCTGGACACTCAGGTATGATCCTCCTGCTGCTCACGGTGTTTCCTCCAGGAACGGTAGGCTTGTGGGGTGAGCACGAACCATAGGAATTTGTTGTAGGCAACTACAGCTAACATTTAGTTTTCATCCATTGATGTTTGATTGCCTGATAATTCTCCCGTTGGTCCCTTCTGTTGCTAATGCCGAGAAAATGAGTCAAAGGATGAGACCCAAACCCAGTCTGAAGCCAAGAAGCTAGACTTCTTCTAAGTGAGGGAGAGTTATGGCAGCCAGCCATTGTTGTGTTAGGAAAATCGAGCTGCAGCTCTCCTGTGGTGTCTTGAAAAAGTTTGTGTTGGGGCCGTATTGGTTACAGAGGTCTGGCAGTCGGTCTGCCTTAGAAGTGTGTTCTCTGGAGTGAGTCTGCCTTGGAATGAAAGGAGTCTGTGTCCTCTGTTGGTCATCAAAGCAAGCTGCCATTGAGCTGTGTTGTCTACTTGCTACCGTGGCAACAGAGAACCCTACAACTCTTCTTTGTCTTGCACAAACTTGTTTAAATTCTCAAATGCAATGTAGACAACTGATGGCTTGAAATGATAATTATGTAGAAGAAACAGATTGTATGTATACTCAACAAGGTAGCTTGCTAGTCAAAAGGAATGTGTAGACTCTGACGTTTGTTTCTGTTTTTAGCCCCATTCTGGTGAGCTAGCCCTCTTACTGTACATAGTATCAGTGAGTTTTAATCCAGGCGTAAAGCACTCACAGAGACAACATTTGAGCCGTTTCTTTAGATGTTCTTTCCTGAGTCTTTGAATCTCAAGATGAGCGATTGGGGGTGGGGGTGCCTTCTTCCTGAATCACAGATCCTAGACAGGCACAGAGACCCTGGATTCAGAATGTGGTTTTAGTTCTTTGATTTTATCAGCTACCCCATATCCTTCTGATACGCTCTTTTAAGTTAACTAGAGTCATTTTCTCTTGCATGGTGACACTGTTTCTGATTCCTTCATCACTTGGCCAGACACAGTTTGACTGTGGGAACTAATTCTGTGCTTCTACTGCAGACCATGACCAACCTCCAACAATCATGAATAGACAAAATTAAATTTGACCTTGGAGGGTCATGTTGAAAATATTTTGAAGCTCCTTGGCCCTTACTTTGACCAGAGTTATTTTATTGTGATTTTGATGTATGTAAACATTGTGACATGATCACCATAATCAAGCTAATTAATACATCCATCACCTCATATAGTTACTTTTTGTGTATACATGTGTGTGGTGAGAACACTTAAGATCTACTATCCTAGCAAATTTCAGGTATATGGTACAGAATTATTAACTGTCACCATGCTGTACATTAGACCTCCAGAACTTATAACTGAAGCCTTATTGCATGGTTGTATTGTGAATCTTAAACCACAAAACAAAATAGATTAATATGCTAGCAAAACCAGGGGCACCTTGTCGACCTCAGAGAGTCGGGGACCTGGGGCAGCGAAGGAACTGAGAAAAAGAGACGACAGCAGAGTGAGGCACAGGGGACCCCGAGCAAACAGACCGAGGTGCCAAGGTTTATTTTCCATAATCTAATATACCTTCTACAATGATATAGATCTATAATGATTTACAGCAGGGGCTTAGTAAGGCACATTCTTCCACATACACAGGGTTAGTCAAGTGAAGCAATGGGAGTGGAGAAGGAATAAAGAAATCTGTAACTGGCTGTGATCAATTAATTGTAAACACCATTGTACTCGGACCTTAACACAGGATAAAAAGACAAAGAAGGAAATGCATAGTGTGCTGTTTACAGCTGGCTTCCTATCTACAAAACATCTTGTGCTGCGTACTTGAGAACAGACCACACACGTCCCAAGGGCATTTCACTCTGATCCTTTTGGGTTATTTTTAACCCTGCGATCTCGAGTTTTCTCAGAGATCTCGGAGTCTGGGCGAACATGCGCCAGTGGTCGCGGGGGCGTTCTGTTTCCCACGGCTCCCCCTTTCTTTTTTCAAAACAGGCGCTGCCGTAAGCACTCTGTGATGGAAGTTTTGGGCATTCATTCGTTTTTTGAGGGTACAGAGGACCAAGGTGCTGGGAGATGAGTAGAGTCATTTGTAAAAACAGTAGGTCCATATTCTGTCCATTTGACTAGGCGCAACAAGGGAGGATGGGGTACATACACCCAGTAGGCATGTTTTTCACCCCCCGCAGAGGCACATGTCACCACCACTAACATAGCCAGGAACAAATGTTCAGGGCTTTTGGTAGATCTGGTCGTCTGCAGGACTCGCTCCGCCCTCTGAGTGAGGGTCTTCAGTTGCCCCCTAGTTGGGGGTGTTGTCGGGGGCAGTTTTTGTTTTCGAGGTCTCTTCAAGGAGGGTGCTGCCATCTCTTGGACAGGGGGCTGGGTAGTCCATCCCTGCAGCGGCTGAGAGACCTCTCCTGTTGTCTTCATCACTGGTCCTGGGCCGGACTTTCTGAAGAGGTATCCAAATTGCTCGACTGGATCCATCTGGAATGACACAAGCATAACCAGGGCCTCGGGTAACTAATTTCCCAGGCAACCAATTATTTTCCTCATTTTTTATCCACACGGGTTCGTCCTGAGTTGAGATTGAGGCTGACGAGAAATGTTTGTCAGCTCTGGTATATGGTTCTCCTTGGGGTAAATTTAAAAAATTTAAAATGGGGGCGCCTGGGTGGCTCAGTCGGTTAAGCGTCTGCCTTCGGCTCAGGTCATGGTCCCGGGGTCCTGGGATCGAGCCCCGCATCGGGCTCCCTGCTCGGCGGGGAGTCTGCTTCTCCCTCTCCCACTCCCCCTGCTTGTGTTCCCTCTCGCTGTGTGTCTCTGTCAAATAAATAAATAAAATCTTAAAAAAAAAAAGTTTAAATGAATAAGGTTTGTGTCATGATATCTCGAGGGGAGATTCCCCCTTTCTTTTTAGATATAATTTTACAGAGTTGTTTTTTAATGGTGGCATGCACCATTTCTACCACAGCTTGTCCTTGAGGATTACAAGGAATACCTGTGATATGTTGTGTTTGCCATTTTGCAAGGAAGTCTTGTACTTTTTTGCTAGTATACGCTGGGCCATTGTCTGTCTTGATACAAGTGGGTAACCCCATAATAGCAAAACATTCAAGCAAATGAGAAATGACATGCCCAGCCTTTTCCCCCGTCAAAGGAGTAGCATGACGAAATTCTGAAAAGGTGTCTATTGTGACATGAATATATGAGAGGCATCCGAAAGTGGGAAAATGAGTAATGTCTGTTTGCCAAATACAATCAGGAGCTGCGCCTCTGGGATTGATGACCACTGGATGCTCAGTTAAATGTAGAGGTCGACAAATAGGACAGGAAGAGACTATTTGCCTGGCAGAGCGCAAGGGTATTTTATAGTGTGAATGAAGGTGGTTGGGGTTGGTATGAAGATGGGCATGTTCTGCTTGTGGAGTTTCAAAAATAGGAGTATCCAATAAATCAGCAGACTGATTTCCCTGTGTAAGAGGTCCAGAGAGGTTAGAATGAGAGCGGATATGAGTAATGAACAAAGGGTGAGTTCGAGATTGAATTTCTGATTGTAGTTCTTGAAGCAGAGGGTTAATGATAGAATGAGTTGTGGAAATAAGAGCTGTTTCCAAAGGCGCAACAATGCTAGCTAGCTACGTAAGCGGAATCAGATATAATATTTATAGGATAATGAACATTCTGCAATAAGAACAATAAAGCTGCAAGTTCGCCCTGTTGAGCAGAAGTGTAAGGGGTTTTTATGGAGTGCTGAATAACAGGGCCCCAGACTCCAGCGCGCCGGGAGGAAGAACCATCAATAAAGTATGTAGGAGCTGAGGGGATTGGGGCGTTACAAACCACGCGATTTATAACCCAGGCAGTGAGCTTTAGGAAGTCCCATAATTTACCTGACGGATAGTGGCAACCTATGCACCCGGTATAATCAGCAAGAGATATCTGCAGATCAGTAGAGAGGGGAAGGACTTCCTTAAAAGATGTGGAAGAGATAGGTAAAACAATGAACGCTGGGTCAAAACCTAGAATTTGAATAGAACGCTTTCGTCCTTGGAGAATGAGTGAAGCGACAAGAGATAGACATGGAGTAACAGTTCGAGAATTTTTGTATATAAAGTCACCCATTCGAGAGGTTTGTCTTCTTGCGCTAAGACACCAGTCGGAGAATGAGGGGTAGGGAAAATAAGCAGCAGCAGGGGGAGAGAATCATCATACCTGTAAGCAAAGGCAGTTTTTAATCGCCCCTCAACAAACTGCAATTCGGCCTCTGTCTCTGAGGATAGAGTGTGAGGACTATCTAAAGCAGAATCACCTTGTAAAGTGTTAAATAGATTTTGTAATTTATAAGTTGGAATCCCTAGGAGAGGGTGAATCCAGTTAATGTCTCCTAGGAGTTTCTGAAAATCGTTAAGTGTAAGGAGGGTATCCCTACGAATTTGCATTGTTTGAGGTTTCACTGTGGTTCCATCTACCACAGTGCCTAGATAAGAAGCCGGAGGAGTTGTTTGGATCTTCTCTGGGGCTATTATGAGACCAGCAGAAGTCAAATGTTGGGAAGTGGCCTGATACACATTTTGTAATTCGGTTTCAGTTTGTGACGCCAGCAAAATATCATCCATATAATGAATAATGTAGGACCGAGAATAATGCTTTCTAACAGGTCGGAGGACCTGGCCAACATAATACTGACACATGGTAGGAGAATTAGTCATACCCTGTGACAAAACTGTCCAATGATATCGTCTCATTGGTTCCTTGTTGTTAGTGCTTGGAACAGAAAAGGCAACTCCTTATCCTCAGGGTGAATGGCTATGGTATAGAAACAATCCTTAAGATCTATTATTATCAATGGCCATTGTTTGGGAACGGCTGTAGGAGTGGGTAACCCAGGCTGCAAGGCACCCAGAGGCTCCATGATGGCATTCACATTCCGAAGGTCCATTAGGAGCCTCCATTTGCCTGATTTCTTTCTGATAACAAAAACAGGAGAGTTCCAAGAAG